CCCCGCTCTGGTCCTCCAACGCCCCGGGCCGGGGGCTTGCCTGGGCCGAGGTGCTCTCCCCGAGAGCGCGGCTCCTCGCTCTGCCCCTGTCACCTTCTTCTCCCCGCTGTTCCAGTGTCTCGGAGGCGAGGCCGCTTTGGCGCGCGTTCTTTCTCTCCCTCAGTGCGCGTCTGTCTCGCTCGTCGTCTCGCTCGCTCTCAGCGCTTCTCTCCTACCAGCCCGCGCGGGACTAAGGCATCGTGAGCTGCCAGCGGGCTCCCTGCACCGTTTCTCTTGCTTGGATTCACCTTCGGGAGATTCCCCGGATCCATCAAGTGAGAGAGAGAAGAGAAAAAGAAGAAAGAGAGCAGGAGCGCTCGCTAGCTCGCTGAAGGCGGCGGCGGCTGCTAGTGCTCCCGCTGTTGCTGTTGCTGCCGCCACCGCTGCTGCTGCTGCTGCTGCTGCTGCTGCTGCTGCTGCTGCTGCTGCTGCTGCTGCTGCTGCTGCTGCTGCTGCTGCTGCTGCTGCTGCTGCTGCTGCTGCTGCCGCCGCCGCCCCCGCTGCTGCCGCTGACTGCCGCCACCACAGACGGGGGAAGTCTTTTACCTCATTATCTCGCGGAGAAGGTTATTATGAAGAAGCCTCGCCTGTTGGGACAGAGCTTTCTACCCAATCAGGTTAACGTTTTAATTAATAGGATTAAAACGGTAACAAACGAGCCCAGGCGCTAGGCTTGGCCCTGAGTCTGGAGAGTTTGCATTTCACACCGGTCTGGAGGAGGAGGAGGAGGAGAAGACGGGCAGCAGCTCACGCTTTATAAAAGGCTCCTGCTCCATTATTCTCTCTGCCATCTGTAGGCACAGCTTAACGCATATGTTTGCAAGGCGTTGTGTCCTATTAGGAAGCCAACAACTGCCTTTACAGCCTGACAGGTGTGGCGACTTTCACTCCTCAATGAGCACACTTAAAAGCCCGAGCTGGGGCGAAGGATGCTCTTTCCCTCCTTCAGCAAATTACGGGGCGGCGATGACGGGGTGCGGGAGGAGGAAAAAGGGGGCAAGGAGCTTGCTGCACACTTCCCCCCTCCGCCCACCCACCCACGAAGGCTGCCAGAGGACTTCTGCGAACTTTGCGCCGACGCCAGACTGACGTTCGACCGCGCCAACCCTCTTCACGCCCCACTCCGCTCTTTGCGAAGTAGGAGGACCTGTTTGCCTGATTATTTGCCATTCCACTTCACCTTGGCCTCAACCCATTTATCTCGCCGAGGTTCACTTCAAGCGCGTTTCTCTCGCTCCCTCTTTTGGGCAAGATGTTTCCATCTTTTCCTCAAACACTGCCCCCATCCCCCCTCCGCCAATGTTCACCCTCTCCCGGAGGCATCACCAGTCTCCCTGTCTCCTATGCAGAGCGGACGTACAATTGATAGTTAAGCTTTTAATTAATTAATGGGGGAGTGGATCCCCTCCAGCTCCTCCCGCACCCAACTTTCAAATCACTTTCTAACAAACGAGGATTTGGATGCCAGCCGATTTTATTCTAAACTCCTAATTTAGTAGACACCCTCCCACTCTTCCGACCACAGGGTTTAAGGGTTGTAGCACCAATTCAGTCACCTAGCTCTGAAGTTACAGGTGTATTATGAGTGTGGCTTTCTACATAGCGATTATTTTTAAAGGGTGGGGCTTCTTTCATTTCAGGAGAAAGGGTTTCAAAAAACATTAGACACAAGCGATTGTTTGTGAAATTAAACTTTATTTTAGATTTGTATCTCTATTGTTATCTTCCGTGCTTTCTGTGACTACCCACTTTCTGAGTGGCTGGTATGGAACAATAAAGTCTTGGAGCCAGCTCTCGTCTTTAGTGTGTGACCATCTGATCCCCTACAAGAAACAAGATACCACTTTTGTTTTCATTCCATACTTTTTTTTTAAAAAAAAGGGAGGACAGTGTCAGGATTTTGCTATTTTCTTTCATTTTTATGACATCACTGAACAATATTTTCAAACACTTTCACCAGATCTTATGTGATAGAATAACCGAAGGTTAGGAGATGTTCAGTTTATCCGGTTTCATTAAAAAAAAAAAAAATCCTTTAATTGTGTCTTTCTCAGTTGGCCCCAGGTGTTGGACTCTTTTCATTACATTTGGCTCTAATGTGATGAAATTCTAATTCTCTCCTTACCATATGGTTAAATTTCCCCACTGAGAATTAGTTGAAAAAGAAGAAATAATCTATTAATCTCTGTAATAGATTCACAAATGAGGTTTGCCACAGAACCTCGTTTTTGAATGGCAGCATCAGAACAGTTGGGTGTCTTGTTTTAGCAAAGAACAGGAGCAGGTGACAGCCGACTCTGTCTGGCTTTTTCACCTGAAAGAGAAGAAGAAGCCAGGCACCAACATAGCCTCCCTCGCTTGCAACAACTAAGGGGAGCTCTCCATCGAGCTCAGACTCCATGGGCACGGGAGTCGCTATTGCAGCCTTGCCCTGAGTAAGGAACAAGATAAGCCTGTCAAAATGCCTTCTGCTTCTAAAGTAGCGCTAAACTCCACTCCCTTTAAGGCACTGGCAAAATCCCCGAATCCAATTCTACTGTCTCCGTCCACCAGGGCTTCCGAGAAAAAACTTCATTTTCACTAGGATCCTAAACCCAGTTCTTGCTCCCCGAGCCCTCTGCCACCCCAACAGGCACGCGGGATCATGCTTTTCTCCTGCGACTTGATTTGGGTAGAGATGCACTTTGCTCTGGAGGCACCTCTGAAAAGGTTGATGGGGGCATTTCATTATCCTCAGTAGAAGCTTTTCGGGAGGAAACAGTAAAGGAGCTGAGTGATTGATACTAGTTCACTCTTTGGACAGGTGGATCATTTTATAATGAACAAGTGGAGGGCGGTGGGCAAGGGCATGTCCTAAACAATGAGATTCGCAGGGCGGGTCTCCTAGGTTTCTCCCTAGTGGATCGCTCCTTCTTTCCACCCCTATGATGGAATACCCCTTCCCACCTTTCCCCCCTCAATTACCTGCCCTTCCCTGCCTCCCCAATCCTGACAACTGCCTCTCCGTTCACTAATGTCCACTTGTCCTGCCTCCCTTTAGCTCTCTTGGTACCTCTCACCTCAACCCATCCCCAGAAACATGATATGGTCCTCAATTCGATCATTTTTGTGCCTAAGATCTTTCATTTCCATGGTAGCAATGTTTCTCCTGAAGTCCCTGGAGAATGGAAGCTGTTTAATAGTCACCACCAACTTTAGTTTGGAAGTCAGTGGAATTTATAGATGGTTTAAATGTGGGGCTTATAAAAAAATACCCGAGGAATGGTCTTTGTGGTTTATGCAGTCATAAACTTTTGCTGATTGCTTCTGGGAAGTTGTCAGGCTTTTAACACTGCATTTATCTTATGGTGCAATGAAAACACATCTGCCCAATGTCTCGTTACCTGGTTTAATGGTAACACAGCCCTATGTCATTGCTGAAGTCAGGCGCCCACTTTTTCATTATGTCGACTGTGAGCAACCTGAGTCCTTAGGGCGAACAAGGAAAGCCTCTAACAAATCAAGCAACTTGGCCATTATGTCGAAGAAATGTAAACTGCCGGTGAACTTTCCTAGACTGCGGGGCGGTACTTCAATTTGCGACTGTGGCCAGCAGGCAAGGCTGGGAGAATTATGTCGCATTACAAAAGCAGGAAATTCAATTCAGGACGTGCAAAGCATCTCCCTAGACAGGCTGTGGTCTGCCCTGACGTTAGGCATGGCTAAAAGGAGGCCACTAGGGGTGGGGGGTGGGGTGGGGAGGTTGACCTTTGCAGATTTACAGGCTTCTCTTAGGCTCCAAATCCTTTAAATATTAACAGGCCTCAATATGGCATGTCACTAAAAGAGCATCTGATTAGTGAAAGATGGGAATCACAACTGATGTTTAAAACAGGTCTCTTGCCATCTACTTCAGAGTAACAACATATTCTTAGCATATTTTCTTCGTTTATCATAAAATCTTTATGTGTTCCAAGTCAGCTAATTCAGAAGTGTGCATTTGTTTCTTTATGATGGTGAAATTACTTCTACTTATGAAAAGGACTATCAGAATGTCCTTGCACCCACAATGTGGGTGCCTGGTCCCCTCAGATATTATACCAGCCAAAGGATAAAGTTCACCCCTTTGCCCACAAGTCAACAGAACAATGAAATACCAACACACACGTGTCTATGTCTGAATCTTAACAGATTCCTGTAGGTTACTCCAGTGGAAAAGTTCATACCATAAATTAATTCTTAGCTGGAAGGAAGGAAGGAAGGAAGGAAGGAAGGAAGGAAGGAAGGAAGGAAGGAAGGAAGGAAGGACATTTCTCTTTGAACTCAAAAGAAGTTATTTATTTTATTTTGGTGCCTTTGAGTCAGTTTTTGACTCCTGGAGACTGCCTGAATTAGTCCCTGCAGTTTTCTTGGCAAGATTTTCAGGAAATGTTCTAGGGCTGAGAGAGAATGACTGGCCAAAGGTCAGCCAGCTGGCTTTGTGCCTATGGTGGGACTAGAACTCATGATCTCCAGGTTTACTGCAGTTTAAGTGATATTCTAGAAATACATCGTAACAGTTCAATAGATCATTGTTCCAACTGTCTATAATTACAGTTTCAGACTAAGACCATCAGTACTTTCTTCTCAATTTCACAATAGTATTAGATAGTTTGGTATTTAACCTTTGTTTTAAAAATAACAACAACAAAAACCAAACACTAGCACATATTACCAATAGTCCAGAAAATTTCTTCTTCTTCTTCTTCTTCTTCTTCTTCTTCTTCTTCTTCTTCTTCTTCTTCCTCTTCCTCTTCCTCTTCCTCTTCCTCTTCCTCTTCCTCTCCTCCCCCCCCCCCCATGAATGTACAAGTAGCCATAGTAGAATAGCAAGGCATATTTTAGAAAGATTAAAGAGCTTCACAGCAACTGGGATCTGTTCCAAAAGCTCTACACAATTTGGAAAACATGAATAATTTCTTTGATACATCC